TGTAACGTAGTCCTCAATGACCTAGATTGACAGTAGGTTAGTGTTACGGACGATGGGCGTACGCTATAGTCTCTGAAGATACTCAGCATGTTCGCTTGGTCGTGTTTGGTTTATAAGTCATACTTTTTCAGTCAACGAATAGTATTTTTCTCTCGTACCAAATCAGCCAATAGTACTTTCAGTCATGACTTATCGGACAAATAAGACCAGGGTGACTGGAGACGTCCAAGCTGCTGATGCCGATGCCGGTACGGCTACTGCAGACCGCTCGGCTACAGAGCCCAAGCAGAGCAGACGGGACAAAAGGCCAAGCGTGAGTGGGCTTGATTCCCTAGGCCTAGAGGCAGCTGCGCTGTCGGGAGCAACAACCTGACAGCCGAAAGTATTAACGGAAATGACCGAGCGCCTCGGCCTATGGACCAGCCGGTCAAATAAACCTCACGTCCGTCCTATTTCGTTGCTCCTGCCGCTCGCCTCATGCTGCTCCTTTTCCTCCTCCGCTGCCGCCTTCCGTTGCTCCTGCCGCTCACCCCGCGCTGCTCCTCCTCCTCCTCCGCTGCCTACGCCATAGCTCCTGCCCTTGCTCCGCGCGCCCGCCCCGTTACTCTTGTCGCTGCTCCTACTCCTACTCCACGCGCCCGTCTGGCGCCTGCGCTCGGCCCGACGAACCCGACAGGCACCGTCAGCGCAAGGAGAAACGTCAAGCCCTGGAGCAGAAGCCATCCGGCCTCCTCTGCCGCTACGGCTGCGGCGCCCCGATGCAAACGGCGGAGTTGGCCGCACCGAGATATGATGCATGTTGCAAACTCACATTTCAAATATTTCAGATGTTTTAAAGGTATGTTGCAAGTGTTTCATACGGATGTTGCAAAAGTAGATCAGGATGTTGCGCATGTTGCAATGGTTATACACGTATGTTGCAAGAGTCTGTCTTCAATGTTTTATCTGTTTTTTAGACATATGTTACGAGCGTGTTTATTTGGATGTTGCATATGTTTTCACATATATGTTGCAAATGTTTTATATGGATGCTGTGTATGTTTGCAATGGTTTTCAAGTGTTTTTACAAGTGTTTCAAACGCATGTTTCAAATATTTTATCTGTCTTTTTTGTATGTTGCAAGTGTTGCATCCAAATGTTTCAAAATTAGATCGGGTGTTACACATGGGATACACGTGGGAAGCTGGAGGGGGCGTGAGCGGTCCCCGTGGGCGCGTGGCGCGGGCGACGTTTGGTGGCGCGGGCCCCTGCGTGACCACGAGATGCAGGCGCGGGCAAGCAATGTTTGGCCAGTGCGGGGCCATACGTGGACGCGGGAAAACGAATTGCAGCCGCGGACGTCCGGACGCTAGCAATGCCGATGTCTTAAAGGAGAGCTTCTTGGAGAGAAAGGGATCAACAAACAAACATATAGAACACGAATACCGATAACGTGACCTCCTACTCAGGTGTTCTGCCTTCCTGCTCCTTCCTTCTATTCCCAACTCTATCCCCCAATTCTTCCTACCCCCGATCCAGTACTCTAATGACCTGATATCATATACTACCGATTCGCAATCGTGTTGAGATCCCATGTATCCATCGATCTATTGACAACGCCTCGGGTTTGATCGAGCTACTGACGACTCAGTGAGCTGTTGATTCGTCAGTGAATTCCTGTATTTCCTAGGCCTTCTCTTGTTTTGTGGCGGATCCTTCTCAATCTGGCGTGACCACCACCACCACCTCCACCCCATAACCTACTCATGCTAGTTTTGCCACTAAACAAGTCTCTAGCTTGGTTTTACTCTTGTTGAAATCAATAAGGTAAAGCTTGCCTTTCAACCGTCCCATAAATGCAGAGGAAGCCTTCCTTCTAGATACGGTCACACTCTTATCCTCAAAGAGATGATTATAACTCATTTCACAAAGTTGTGAAAACAGATAACAAATTGTAACTTAACAACTCAACAAGTAAAACATTAGAAATTGTATGAAGCAATTATAATGATTAAAAGATCTTTCAAAAGAATAGAATGCATAAAACAACGCTTACCATGTTCCTTGTAAATAACCTTTACCATGTCATCTCTTATCTGTGTCGTTTTTAATAACAGCAATAAGCACCTGCCAAAAGTCCTGAAGGACAAGAAGACTGCCACTTTATTTTTGAGGAAATTATTTTTTTACCCTAAAAAAAGTGCTGCTTAGATTCTTGGTCCTTTTTTCTGGAACTTGCTTATGTGGCCCTAAAACGAATTTCTTTTAGTTTACTGGCCCTTCCGTTAGATTGATGGGCTAACGGTGTTAAGCTGTACGCAAAATGGCTCTTTTACCCCTGGCACCGAAGGCTACGGTTCACATGTCTTAAGGCTACCTCTATCAATAATTTCCCAAAATGGGTACAATATTTTGTCAAGCATAGAATCATTATTTTTTTATTTTTTCAATAATTATTTTTTCAAGCCAGGGGTAAAAGTGTCTTTTCACGTACAGCTTAACACCGTTAGCCCATTGAACTAACGGAAGGGCCAAAAAACTAAAAGAAATTAGTTTTAGGGCCAAATAAGCAAGTTCGAGAAAAAAGAGGGCCAAAAAACTATAGAGCACTTTTTTTAGGGCCAAGAAAATAATTTCCTCCTGTTTTTTACCATTACCCCATTGGTAACTGAGCGTGCAGCATGTTGTAATTTTTTTTTTTTTTTTAACTTGGGTAGCTTTCATTGCTCTCGGGTTGGCAAATCGTCAACCACAATTACATTGACACTATCCGGAACATTGCTCCGCCCCTTCAGTGCTACCAACACCCAAAGCAGCAAGAACATGGGCTGCCCTATTACAACTTCTCGGAATATGAACACACTCAAAACTAATAAAATTTGTAGAGGTAAAGAACTTTAATTCTTCCACAAGGCCTTCGGCCGATGACAGGTCTTGCATCTCCGACATCACAGCTTGCTTGACCTTCAGCGCGTCCGTTTCCAATATTAAACGACCAATTCCCAAACTGCTAGCCGCTTGGACCCCCTGCAAGCATGCTATCGTCTCGGCCTGGAAGGCGTTCAGCAGGTGATTCAGACGCCCCCAGCCGCTTAGCACCACCTCTCCATCAGTATCCTGATCAAGAAGCCCCAGCCTCCACATGACTCACTCGGTATGAAGGAGGCATCGCAATTTAGTTTCAGATACCCCTCCGGCGTGGCCTCTTCCAGCGTTCCATCCGCCGCGCCTGAGTCCTTTGCTTTGGAGGTTTTGTTGCTCCTACTTCCCCGGCATATATTTGGATAGCTCTTGCAACATTCTCAGCTGAGCGCCTGAGCCCTTCTTCACGAACTGTGTTCCTCTCCGACCATAGAGACCAGAGAGTTATAAACATTAGGAGTCGACGCTCTTCCTTCTCCTTCAGAATTCGATCAACCACATCACGTGCATTAATAAGATCTTTTAGCTTGTCCCATTCTTGCTCTAGCTTCAACTCGCGCCAAACTTGTTTGGCCAGCTTGCACTTCAGAAAGAGGTGCCCCCATCTTCATCTAATCGATTGCATACAGGACACTTGGTGTCCAGATTCATACCCCTTCTTGCTAAATTTCTTCTCAGAGTGTGGCTATTGTGAGCAAATCTCCACAAAAAATGTTTCACTTTATTTGGGCAATTTGTTTTCCAAATCTTCTCCCACATTGAATCAGCAGCTTGGTTGCTGCCACCCTGCGCGCTTCCCCGATCTTTCCTGCGCAGCAAATTGTCTCGGCAAACTTTATAAGCACTCTTCACACTAAACAAGCCACGATCATCATAATGCCAAGCTAGAAAGTTTTCCCTCCCTTCATTCACCGGCAGGGCCAAAATAATATTCGCGTCGTGCTCCCAGAAAACATCTCTGACCAGTTCAGCATCCCATGTGCCGGTAGCTGGTAAATAGGCTTCGACATCACCGGATAAGCCTAGTCACATAGCCATCGGTGATAGATTAAGGAATATTATCATCAACAGGTGCGGTGATAATGCTTGCGAGGAGGGGCCCAACGAGGCAAGAGATGGCGTGCGGCAAAAAAAAAACATTAGCTGCACATTGCCCCATTCTTATGATTGGACTTCAAGTCTAATTTAATGAATGTACCATGCTAAGTGAACTCTTTTGAGACCACAATTAAAATCTAAAGTTTTCAAAAAAAAAAACAGAAACAAAGTTGAAGTTGAAATATTGGAGTCCAAGGAACAGTATGTCAACAACTGCGCTAAAGGTTCTATACTCCCTCCGTTTTTATTTATTTGTCACATTAGCTTTGTCCTAAGTCAAACTTTATTATTTTTGACCATCCATTTCAAAAAATCCTTATAATTTCACAATATATGAATTACAGATTATAAGAATATTTCTATAAAATATAAATCTTATTTCATGAATTTATATAAATTTTCATAATAGACATTAATATGACGCTGACTAATAACATCATAAGACATTATCTTAAAACAGCAAATAACTGAAAATTAATAATATAATACTTTATAATAAAGTGCATCCCAACAAATCTAAATTTGCTTTCCTTTTTGAAAGGATTGAATGTGCCTTTTTCTGGATGCTGATTTACTTGTGAAAGGATGCCATTTTCTTTTGGCATTAACAAGCCAGCAATAACACATAGACATAGGAGTGGACATCAACAATTATAGTCGTTGGTGTAATGGTGTGCACCAAGCCTAACCTTCAACAAGAATATGATTGACACATTTGGCCCTTTCCTGCATATGATTGCTGCCCTACTAGGCTACTACTACTACTCTTTCATCAGCAAAATAATAATAATAATAATAATATATAATAATAATAATAATCTACAAGTACCAACACCTTCGTTCTTGTGTGTTGAGTCTTACAATAAAATGTGGCTGTAGTAGTCGGTTCACGACCCATTCTGCCATGTCCATCTCCTATATATGTATTCTTTTCAGCCTAGTCGAAGCCCACCTTTGGTTGTTTGGTGAACAACACCTTTGCTTTTCACCAGAAACCAAAAATGGCAGCCAGGATCCCTTGCCATCGTTACCCTTCTTCCTCCTCCTCCATGGCCATGATCTGCCCAAGGTCAGGCACAAGGCAGTCGTCCTTCAGGCTTAGGACCTCTGCTCATGGCAGCAGTTCTTCACCACACCTCTCCTTTGCTTCTGTGACAGACAAGAAAGTTCAGGTATGTGTGTCGCAGCAGTTCTTCATTTACACATGCAGCAGGAGGTGTATGCATAGAGGCTCTCGATCTCATCTGTTCTTGTGATGATTCATAGGTGTTTGAGGACCAATTGAGAGGGATCGTATGCTACAGAGATGAGAACGGGGAGATGATCTGTGAGGGGTACGACGAAGGCCCGAGGCTCGGAATGCGGTTGCCAGAGAAGGCCTCCTTCCCATGGTGAGCATCTGAACTGAATTTCTTGGATCGTCTTTGTTATTGTTGGGTTGGCAAGGATCAGAAATGATTGGTCTGTAATGAGCAAGCCGTTGTTCAATTGATCCTCCTTATGCTGTGCTATGATTTTGATGAAATTGTAGGCCTGTGGGGGTTCGGGTCACTGATTTCATCCAGCTAGCGACGCTCCAGGTTTTTGAGGACGTCGATGTTCTTCAGCTCAGGAGTGACCAGAAGAGGCAGCTCTGAGCAAGGAACTGATCATGTAAACATATAGTGGTGTAGTACAATGATGATATGCAAGAATAATGTGTTGTATTGCACTTAGTTGCTCATATTTGCTCGTCATATTCGGTCCAGCGTTTTGGGTTTCACAAAAGGGGGGAAACGTCTATTGTTCAGTTCTTCTCAGTGTACTGCTGAAGCAGACTTACTTGTTTGTAAATAATCACTTACTGCAAGGATGAGATTGTTTAAAGCACAACTTTTATGTGCATATAAAGTGAGAAAAGGAGATCTGAATATCTGATCAGGGTACCGCAGAGCAAATTTAAGCCTATTTATCAGGGTCCACCGATCCCGATATAATCTGCAATTCTTTTAGTTAAACATGTCATGAAGTTGATTCCGATGATGTTCTCGGCTGAATTCGGACCTCATAGGACGCCGCTAAGACGTGTTGTATTAAACTTTTCCTCTACCTTAATATAGAGATGGGCAAACCTTTTGCGTGATCGAGAAAAATATATGCAACAAGCTTATTGGATTGCAGCTGTGCACAGTTGCTGCTGGCCACAATGTGACCTCTGTTGCCCATCTGACTGTGAATATCACTTGTGTTAGTACCAATGCGTTTGAGAGGATTCAGCTTCAGCCGGCAACAACATGGAAACATACAAACAGGATAGCTGAAAGAAATGTTTTGGGTATTGGTTGATGACCAGAATGGCGGAATATGCTGTCCTTTGTTAATTCCAGGCTCTCATGTGCATGGTTTCCTTTTTCGGCCGAAATCTCCTGATATTTCCGATATATCTTTTTTATCCGTAGGTGCCGATAAGAAAATATCTATTTTTTTCGTACAAATTTTGTTAAAATTTATTTAAATTTACTTAAGTTCAAATTAAATTTTATTTGAGTTTAGTCCGATATTTCCGATATATCTTGTTTATCCTCTTTATCTGTGACCCCCGATAAATTTTAATTTCTGAAAATGAAAACCTTGCTCATGTGGGCCATGTGGCCATGTGAGCCTGAAGCTGGAGGAGGCTTCGTGAATGTCGACATCGTTGGAAACATCAGTGGGCAGTGGATCATCTCATTATCCTTTCATACCTTGTCAGCATCAATAATGATGTTCAAGAAGAAAGTCTTTTTGGACTTTAGCAGAGACTGGGCTTTCCAAATTTTGCCGCGATTCCATTGTTTAGCCACTGAAACGAAGGAAATTACGTGGGAACAAGTATAAAACTAATACTTTTTGGAACTTAGAACTTCACTAGTATACAGCTCGTCAGCTCCAGGTTAAGAAATTTTTCATGCGTTCCAAAGGGACCTTCCTGAATCCTGAATGCCTAATTTCATAAAACATTGATTCCTAAGGGAATCATAAGCTGCAAACAGAACAGGGCATGCCAACTTTACATATTCTGAGTGTGAAAAGAGAATGAGAACAGTTTCACGAACAGCGCGTGACAACTTTACAATGGATACAAAACGCAGCCAAACAAGCTCTCTATCATATTAAAACACAAGCAAAACTTACTGACGACTGATGATGGGTATGCATAGTTTACACGGTCACTTGTGGCTAGCGGCTGCATTCTTGAGATTTGCAGAGCACGGCTTAATGTAATCAGATCAGACGTCGTCATCGTAGGGGAAGGAGGTGGCGCCCAGCCACTCGTCGCCGTAGATGAAGTTCTCGACGGCGAACTGGGCCGCCTCGTCGTACTCCATCTGCCGCACTCCAGCCCAGTCCACGCGGCCCTCCGTGTCGGCCCCCGGCCCGTCGTTCCCGTACTCACCGAAAAAGACGGTGTCCCCGCGTCCGGGCTCCGCGCCAGGCCACTCGAGCCACCCTTCCCGGTCCACGATCTGGCCCAGGTAGGAGTCCATGACCACGGCGCGCGCGTACGCGCCCCACGGCCGGCCCAGGAACACGCGCGTGCCGGCGGGCAGGGGCGGGGCCCCACCTGCGGCGGCGGAATCGGCGGCGGAGGAGACGGTGCAGTGGTGCAGCGCGATGCCCGTGTCCTCGTTGGGGTCGGCGCGGCCCTGCGCCGTGAGCACGACGGACTGGCCGGGCAGGGGCGCCCTGGCGAGGAGCGCGCAGCCCTGCAGCACGGCCGCCGCGTCGCCGAAGACGACGTCGACGGTGCCGGACACGGCGCAGTCGCGGTAGAACTGCCGGAACGAGTGCGCGTACAGCGCGTCCTGGTGGGCCTCCACGCCGCAGTGGTACAGCGCGGCCAGGTCCGCGTTCACGCGCAGCGCCACCGCCTGCCCCTTGCCCGCGCCCGCCGTGTTGCGGAACGTGATGTCGCGCGCCAGGAAACCCTCGCCGGAGACGCCTGCATGTGCACATTTGCAGATACAATTCAAATTTCCGTATAATGGTCGGCACGACCGCACGATAAATGAGATCTTGGACTAGTCCATGCATGCATTTGCATGGCCAGCTCGATGGGTCCTGCTCCAGTGCACTTTTTTTTTTTTTTTTGAGAACACGCTTATGCGCGTATTTCATTAAGAAGATAAGAGTTTCGAAAACAAGGTTACAGAAACTTGGTAACAAAAACGTTACCAAGTCACCTAGCACTACTGGATCCAAAGGTAAGACACTACATTGTTACAAAAGATAGCTACCAGCACAGCGGCGCTAGAAGCACGCGCGAGCAGCCTGGAAAGGTGGGCGTTCCCGGCCGCACACCACCTCTCCGCTTCCTCCTTGATCAACATGGCGGGCTTGGCGGCGAGGTTGCACCACTGGAACGCGTCCTATGGTTCCGCTCCTTCCACAAGCTCCACCCAATCAAGAAACGCGAGAGTCGAATCCCTGAAAGAACTTGGGACGAGCTTTACATTGCCAATCCACCACTCCATGGCCCGAGCTCCCCGTAGCCATCCAGTTGATGTGTACTCTTGACAAGCGATGAGCCACACTTCTCTACTAAAAAACAAAGAACCCAAAATGATATGGTCTAGGGTCTCGGGCTCTTGATCGCAGAAAATGCAAAGGTTTGAATCTTGCAAACCATGGCGAAGCAGCGATCCCCAGTCCCAAAGAATGCACCAGCATGGCTAGCCAAGAAAAGAAGCGAACTCTTGGCGGGGCAGGTGTTTTCCAGATGAACTTTGCACCAAAGACCGTGGAGGATCCAAAGAACATTGCTCCATAAGCTGAGGCAGAAGAGTACCTTTGGTCCGGTGAGGGCGTCCAACAGAACGTGTCTGGCTCCAGCGATAGCTGCACCTCCTCCAGGAGGTCGCAGATACGTGATATGTCCAGCAACATCTGCATAGAAGATGGCCCCCGGATGTGACGCACCCAGGCATTTCCGGGCAGGGCCTCCGCCACCGTTGCCCGTCGACGCCTCCTCCCAACTGCAGCAAACGCAGTAGGTGCCTCGCGCTCCAGGCTGCTACCATTGAGCCAACGATCCGTCCAGAAGAACGTGGAACGGCCGTTCCCCAAGCGGTGCAGCGTTGCGGCCTGAAAGAGCGCCAGCACCGCATGCTCCCCAGACGCCGGTGCTCGGCCGCTAAGTCTGTCCTTCCACACCCAGCGAACTCGGAGTGCAACCCCAGCCTTTCTCAAGTCAGTGACACCGAGCCCACCTAACACTTTGGGTCGGCACACGTTGGGCCAAGCCACCTTACATTTTCCTCCCGCCACAGTGTCTGTGCCAGCCCAAATAAAACCCCTCCGTAGCTTATCAATCGTCTCAATTGCCCACGTTGAAAGGCACAAGGCGATGGAAGTGTGTACAGGTATGGCCGAAAGGGTGGATTTGACAAGTTCCGTACGTCCAGCAACATTTAGAAGATTACCTTTCCAAGCTGGTATTCTTGCAGCCACTTTATCAATGATAGCCTGCTCCTCCGCTCTCTTGAGCCGGTGCACCGAAAGTGGCACTCCCAGGTAGCGACATGGGAACGATACTAACTTGCAAGCAAGAATGCGCTGCACTCTGTCCATATCTTCCTCAGAGCAGTGAATTGGTGTGGCCATACTTTTGTCAAGGTTGGAGAAGAGCCCAAAGGCAAGGCCGAAGATGGACAAGGCTCCTTTGATTGACAACAGATCACTCTCAGATGGGGCTACAAAAATGACCAGGTCATCGGCATATAAACTGACTCTGGCCCCTGGAATTCCAGCTAGCGGTGTGAGGTAACCGTGTTCTTCAACCCAGGTCAGGAAGGAGTTGAGTACCTCCATGACCAAAATGAACAGCATCGGCGATAGAGGGTCTCCTTGCCGTAGCCCCCTAGCATGACACACCCTCCTGCCTGGCTTGCCGTTGAGGAGAATCCTTGTGCTTGCCGTAGACAGAAGCATAGTCATCCAGTTCCTCCATCTCAGCCCAAAGCCCATATGTTGTAGCACCTCCAGAAGGAAAACCCATGCAACCGAATCAAACGCTTTGGCCACATCCACCTTGAGCAAAACACAAGTCATCTTCAATTTGTGCAAGGATTTGCACGTGAGTTGAACATCCCTAACATTGTCATGTATGCTTCGGCCCTTGATGAACGCACTCTGATTATTCCTGACCAGATCTCCTAGAACAGTTGCCAGTCTGTTGGCCAGGCACTTCGTTATGAGCTTTCCAAAACTGTGCATAAGACTAATGGGACGATAGTCACAAATCTCGTTGGAGTGGTCTTTCTTCTTAAGTAGCACCATGAAAGCCTCGTTAACAGCATGGAAGTTGCGGTGATCCAGCGACCAGAAAGCATGTAACGCGTTCATGATGTCCGGTTTGATCACCTCCCACGCAGATTTGTAGAAGAGACCAGTTAGCCCATCAGGTCCGGGGGCCTTGTCATTCGGCAGTTCCTTGATCACCCGTGTTACCTCTTCTTCAGTGAACATAACCTCCAAAGGCCGGGCATCCACAGACCGGACCCCCAAGGCGGCTAGGTCCAGCCTCCTGGACCGCACGAAATCTGTACCCAGGATCGAGTTGTAGAGGTCATACAAAGCATCTGCCATGGAGTTGTCAGAAACCACCTCAGCACCTTGAACAGACAGAGAGACAATGCGGTTCTATCGCTGTCGATGGCAGGCCTGAAGATGGAAGAAGCGGGTATTTGCGTCCCCCTCCCTTAAGAAAGTTACTCTCGAGCGTTGTCTGGCAATCGTGCGTGACAAAGACGCCAGCCCAAGAACTCTGACCTTCAGCATGCTGTGCATATCTTGTTCCCAAACCTGGAGCTGCCGCTTTTCTTGCTCCTCATCAAAGCATAGGATGATCTCCTTTGCCATGGCTAGCTGCAGCCTTATGCTACCCACTTTTGAGGAGCTCCAACGTTTCAGATCCGTCGCCACCATCCTAAATTTCTGGTCGAGCAAACGAAAAGGGTTGGATACAGGCTGGGGCGCCAACCAAGCAGCTTTGACAACCTCCATGAACCCCGGAACCTTGGGCCAGAAAGACTCAAACCGAAATCTCGGTTTCGTTCCCGACTGTGCATCGATGAGCAGCAATAAGGGACAATGATCCGAACAGTCAGAGGATAGCGCCTTCAAAGCGTGAGAAGGGAACAAAGCCAGCCATTGTGCGTTCACAAAGACCCTGTCCAAATGCACCAGGGTAGGGATCTGGCGTCGATTGGACCAGGTAAACGCACGCCCACAAAGCTCCACCTCCTCCAGCTGCGCTTGATTTAAAAACCTTCTGAATCTCCTCATATTTCTTCTGTCCAATCGATCGTTGTTCTTGTCACATGCCCGATAGATCATATTAAAATCCCCCGCCACCAGCCATGGCCCAGGTGCGGCATTCTTGAGTTGCATTAGTTCATTAAGAAAGTCCACTTTGTCATCATCTTCCTGCGGCCCATAAACGCCCACAAAGCTCCAAGGGCTGGGCAAAGCCCCCTGCATTTGAAAAGTTGCCGCCAAACTAAAACGGCCCAGGTTCGGCAGTGAGGTCTGCCAGATCTCCCTATCCCAGGCTAGAAGGATTCCACCAGCAACCCCAACAGCAGGCAAAAACAAATATTCATAAGGCGGACCTAAGAACTCCAAAGCAGTTGCATTACAGATGTTGGAGAGCTTGGTCTCCTGAACACAAATTAAGGAGGGGCGCTGAGCGATGATCAGTTCGCGCAGAACGTTGCGCCGTGCACGCTCATTGAGGCCGCGCACGTTCCAAACCAGGAAACCTCGGTGTAACATGATGGAACCGAGTTGAGCTTCTAACGAGGTGTGGTGGCCATGCTCAAGCCCCCCCCCCTCCAGACCCTCGAGGTCTAGGTTCATTGCCGTTAGATCGATCCCTTCATTGAGGAACAACTGCAAGGCGTACTGCTTCCTTTTCGACATGTTCCCCCCGAACGCCAGTTTAAATTTCTTCTCTACTTCGACGTTCGCTTCCTCCTCTACCACTGCAACACCGAGCTTCTTCAACAACACTCGCTGTGCCCGTGCCGTTGCGTTGCCAGCACGCGGCCTCGCTGCAATCCGACCACTCCGACGAAGTGAGTGCACAGATATCGGCGAGCGGGCCCTACGTAGCCGCGGCCGTCGGCTGACAAGCGGTGTCTGAAACGGGATACAGACCGCCGCTTCAAGCTGCAATTGCATCGGGTTAGGATGAACATCTTCAGGATCAATCCCCCCGTTACCGTCTGCTGCCACATCCCCCACATCATCATGACCCACAGATACATTGTCATTGTCTGTGAGAGCCGTCTCTGGACCGGAGTGGTCATCCAATACGTGCGCCTCCGAGGACACAAGCCCAGACAAATGCACGCGGGCAGTCTCGGCAAACTCTGCTTCGACGAGGTCTGACCACCAGTCCCTTCTAGGCGAGTCGAAGGGCAGAAAGGCCTCCCCCACAGACGCCGGCGCCGGTTCGACGGGGTCCTCTTCATTATCTTCTACGGCCATGTCCGCCCCTGCCAATTCAGCGTCCACACAATCAAGCCACCAATCAAGTGTTTTGGGCGGAGGCGTCTAGATGGAACGGCCCGTGTGCAGCAAGATAGGTGCGACCTTCAGGAACCGGCCCACAAAGCCCAGTCCCGAAGACGGTGGGGAGGATGGCCAACTAGGAAGGCACCTCTCCTCATCCCGGTCCGCTCTCCATAAGGGCCAGGGTTGCGGAATCCATCGATCAGCAGACCAGCTCCAGTGCACTTCATGGACATGGCCAAAATGAGAGCGTCTTCTTGTCGAATTGGCATGATAATAAGATGGCAGAAGCTGTTTTGTCAGCGAGCACCTCGTCGTCGAATTGGCATGATACCATGAGATCGATGGCAGTCGGTTAGGAGCAGCCAAATATCCTGACGAGTGACAGCCATGAGCCCATGATCCATGTCTAAGGAGATAAAGCTCTGCATGCATGTCCATGGCCCGTATCGGATCTTAGTGCCAACCGACGGAAGGAGACGGCTAGATTGCAGAGCTAGTAGTATCTAGGAGCACATGCACGTGATCAGTAGGCCAAATATCTGCGTCAAACCTCCGGAGACTGGGCCCTAGCATGCACATGCTCCATCAGGCCTACATCTCGTGTTCTTGATCTGTCATTATCCAAGACCAAGAACCATGTCTTGTATTTTACATTTTTACTTGACTTATCTACTCTGAGTATGAGTTTCTGACAGCCTGAAGACCATGTCCGTCGTGATGCTAACATGTCCACCATGTGTGCATCAGTGCATGCATGAACGGATCAGCCCAGGCGTGCATTGCATCGGTGGATAGCAACAAATAAGCTCACTGCCGGTCTGACGACACAGCCACAGACCACACGCTGCATGATGTACTACTGTACTGGTGTGTAGCAGCTACCAAGAGATGCTTCGCACATCTCGCGAGGTGAATATCCGATTCGTGTAAATAAATTGTGTTAAAACTTTGAAGTGCTGCAGTTAGAGGTTGATTTGATTACCGAAAGTGGCCGTGCGAAAGGTGGTCCAGCCGTCGGCGGCGCTGCGGCTGCCGGTGATGACCGTCGTGTCGCGCCCTTCGCCGACCAGGGCGACGTTCTTCTTGTACAGCGGAACCTCCACGTTCTCCTCGTACGTCCCGGCCTTCACGTGGATCACCGTCCTCGTCTCGCTGTTGTTCGGCGCCGCCGCCACCGCCTCCCCCACAGTCCGGAAGTTCCCCGTCCCATCCTTCGCCACAGTGATCACCGTCGCCGCTGGCTGCCCAGTGTTCCCACCGCTGTCATCCCCGTCATTGTCGCTGTCGTCGTCGTCTCCTCCGCTGCTGTCGTCGTCGTCGTCCTGGAGCAGCCGCCGGTTGTGAACTGTCTTCGCCACGGCGTTCACGAAGCCAGCAGCAGACACGCCGCCGCCGCGCCTGGCGACGAGGGCGAGCGAGTTGGACACGTGCCCGTAGGCGTCGTCAAGGGACGCGAGGAGTCCGCCGATCCGCGGGCCGGACGCGCCGGCGAGCCCGTCGAGGCAGGTGGCCTTGTTGGTGAGCGCGGCCGCGAGGTGCGCGCGCACGGCCGGGAGGCCCTGACCCTCGCCGGGCGCCGCGAGCAGCGAGGCGGAGCGCGAGAGCGACGACAGCGAGGCGGCGTGGAGCTCCTGGCAGTCCTGCGCGGCGCCGCGGCGGAGCGAGGCGCCCGCGGGGGAGGCGGCCGGCGGCGCGGAGAGAGCGGAGAGCGCCGGGGAGAGCGAGAACAGCGCCGACTCCGCACCGTGGAGGGACGCCAGCAAGACGGAGAGGACGTTCGGTGGGAGGAGCTGTACGGAGACAGCGGACGCCTCGGCCACCTTCGCGCCGGCTGCGGCGGCGTCAAGGTGCGAGGCCACGGCCGCCAGGCAGGACACCGGATGCGGCGTCGTGTGGCAGATGGCGTGGTGGACGATGTCGGGCGGAGGGCTGCTGGCGCCTGCCGCGGCGGTCTTTTTGGGCATTCTAGTTCCGCCGGTGTGGTGGCGCTGGCTCTTGTGACCGTGGTGGCATTGAGTTGTGCCGGCGGTAGTGAGGAGAAGGATAGCGAGGAGGAGGAGCGGCGGTGAGAGCGTGACGGGCGCCATGGTTGTGGGAAGCGCGATTGCGCGAGCTAGTGTGTGGTGTAGCCGTGTGGGAGTGGGACAGTGGGAGTATATCACTACTGGAAACAGCAACATTGCCGAGGGCAAAAGACTTTGCCGAGGGCCTGATTTCGGGCACTCGGCAAATCCTTTCTTTGCCGAGGGCCGCCCTCGGCGAAGCTTAGCCCTCGGCAACGGCTCGTTCGCCGAGGGCTGGATCCTCGGCAATCAACGACCCACGGCAAAGGCCCACCTTTTCCGAGGGTCGGGCCCTCGGCACAGTACCGCCTCTCGGCGACCTCGGCCGAGCGTGATGGCGGCACCGTGGTCGGCACCGTTTTAGGGCTCGGCGTTAGGCCCTCGGCAAAGAATTTGGAAATAAAAAATAAAACTCTTTTGCCGAGGGCCCGTTATGCAGCCCTCGGCAAATATTTTGAACGGGATGGCGCCCGTGAAATAAAAAAAAATCTTTGCCGAGGGCCTTGGATGTTGGCCCTCGGCAAAAGAAATTAAATAAAAAAAAAAAAAAATCTTTGCCGATGGCTCTGGATCTAGGCCCTCGGCAAGAGGGGACCCCATATAAAAAGGAAACGGCTAGGCGGGCGGCCTTATCCCAAGCCGCGCCCGCCGAAACCGCCACTCACTCTTCGCCGCCGCCATCACCACACCCGCCGCCGCCGCCACAAGACGCCACCACGCCTTCGGCATGCCATGGACGCCACGCCGCACAGCCAGTGAGCACGCCCAGCAGCCTTCATACGCCAGCCCCCAGCCGCCAAGCCAGCCCTTCCTTCGCCACCCCGCCGCCACGCCGCCGCCGCCTCCCCGTCGCCCCGTTTCCTCCTCTCCTGTCGGTCTTGACCTGAAGGTTCGGTGCATTATCATTTCATTCAGTGGTAGACCATGATGTTTACGGTTAATCCACCACAATGTCAGTCTTTCGGAAATACTTACAGGATATAACGGTTGTGCATCATTATGTATATCTATACAAGTACGTGTCTATGTTTGTATCATGTTTTGAAATTATAAAAAAAAACTGCACCTTAATTAGTTGTAACAGTACAACTCTATATATATGCATGATTAATCTAGCTAACCGTTACAAGTAGGTGTTTGATTATTGGCATGATAATTAACGAAATGAAAGTACGCTGATGAACACATTGCACATGTGGCCAGTCTTGCATGCCAGGCAGCCCCGGAACCGTGCATGTGATGTGAGCCCTCTGCTCCGAGCTAGCTAGCAGGTCGCCCCCTTGCAATGATTCCACCGTTAGGGCTACTGACAGTTAGTCGTCGTGGACCCACCACTGACTAATCAGCATACATGCACAAAGCTACCAGTTTTCCTGATCTATCTGAGCTGGTGGTTAACTAACCATAGAATCGATGCTATACGAGCGAGATCCATCCATCCCATCATCGTCAAATATATATAATGCATTTGCATGCATGCCCACGCACGCACGTACGTGGTGTATGCTTGCCTTTTAGTCGTTGCATCATCATCTCCACAGCATGGCTTTGTCGGGCACCATCATTAAGCTACTAAGTACATACTGATTATTAATCAGCATCGATCTAGTAGAGCGTGTAAATTTAGGATTTACTGGTTCAGTACTTTTCTGCAGTTGCACTTGTTTTATTCACTATCTAAGCGGGTCATGTTTTGAAGCAATTACTTGGGCATGCAATGCAGGTGGTTCTGGATAACGGCCTCGTCTGGACGACCTTGCCGTCACCTTCACTTCCCCGTCCCTCGGTCGAGTAGAAGGTAAAACCATGGGTTGTCGGCCATCGCGCCGTTTTTTGATGTGGATGGCCTTCGTGCCTCCCATTGTTGATGTGTCGGCCTTTGTGCCGTGAATGTGGGTGTTGGCCATCGAGCCGATTTTTTTTGCAGGTTTTGGAAACCTCCCCGTACAGGGGAGGTTCTGCCGAAATTTTTAACTTATACCCTTTTTTTTTGCAGAGCAAAGGACGTCAAAGGAGCTTGAGTAGTAGTAGTCGATCGTCCTCGTCGGCCTGCCGCGACTCTCCACCGCCTGACTCGCCACCGCCCTGCACTACCTGTCTCCACCGCCACCTTAGGTATAAACAACCTCTACTCTCAGTATCTTTGTCGAGATCACAGAAAACCGCTTAAGGCGTCTCCCGTCCGAAAGAGATACGGTTGGAGGCATGCGATCACCGTGTGTATCTCGACCGTGTCTCTGCTTCGGATTGTCCACGTTTTTGATATACCCAGCGTATCGTAGATGAGTCGATTTCCATGCTCGCTCGATCCGAGCGAATTTTGAAGACCTCCCCATTGTTCTCCGAATACACAAACTTCTTTGCGGGGCGTGTATTGGGAGAACATCGAGAGGTGTTCACAAATTTCTCTCTTGAGAGGAGCGAGAGCATGGAAATCGACCTCATCTACGACACGCTGGTGGGATTAGGATCTATCCTCACCTATTAGACAAAGAGGAACACCGGCTAGGTGCGCTTGATGGTTACGTTACTTTCGGTGATGTATTTGTCAAAGGATGGAGGACCGCTCGATGGATGTACACGGGGCGAAGAAGTCAAAACGATTACGACGTGGATTGGGTGAAGAGGACAGATGACTTCTTGAAACATGCATTTGGCGAGGGTGTAGCTAAAGGGCATTCTCTAGTTTGGTGTCCGTGCAGCCACTGTGACAACAGGAGAAGGGTGGACAAGCAGACCATGGGTAAACATCTTGTGTACCATGGTTATACGCCGGGCTACCACCGGTGGATCTACCATGGTGAAGCCGATCGTATCAGAGAGGAGGTGGTGAGACCACGTCTCGAGCCTTTTGATGATGATGCTGGGGTAGCAGACATGATAGATGACGCTCACCAAGCTCAGTTCGCTGAAGGACGTGACAAGGAGGAGATGGAGGCAAACGTAGAAGCCTTCTACAAAATGTTGGACTCGGCGTCTAAACCCCTTCACGAGCATACAAATATTTCTCAGCTGGATGCCATTGGGCGTGTGATGGGGCTGAAGGCCGAGTTAAACCTGAGTCGAGAAGGCTTCGATAAGATGTTGACTGTGTTTGGCACCATGCTACCGAAGAACCACATTCTCGCCCCAACTTGTAATGAAGTCGAAAAAACTCCTTCGTGCGCTCAAGATGCCATATGATAAGATACATTGTTGTCCAAAAGGGTGTGTCCTATTTTGGAAAGAACACGAGCATGCAAAGTACTATCCGAAGTGTGGATCCTCCAGATACCTAGAGGTAGTATCTAGTGATGGCCAAAAGGTGCAGCTTACGATCCCCGCGAGAGTCTTACGTCACCTTCCTTTCATAGCGAGGATCCAACGACTTTTCATGACCGAGGAAATCTGCGAAATGATGACATGGCACAAGAATGGCAAGCAAGGTACAATCCGCACAAGATGGTTCATCCATCCGATCTTCAAGCATGACAAGATTTTTTAATGATCGACATCCTGAGAAAGCAGCTGAGGCTCGGAATGTACGTGTCGCCTTCGCAACAGATGGATTCAATCCTTATGGATTGATGTCTTCCCCATACACATGTTGGCCTGTGTTCACTATCCCTCTCAACCTCCCCCCTGGCATCGCCTTCCAACGACAAAACGTATTTTTGTCGTTGATAATTCCTGGACACCCAGGAAGTAATATGGGAGTGTTCATGGAGCCTGTGATTGACGAATTGATAAAAGCTTGGGGAGGGGTATGGACATACGACCGAGCTACAAGGTCAAGCTTCAAAATGTACGTTTGGTATCACTACTCTCTGCATGATTTCCTGGCGTATGGGTTATTCTGCGCCTGGTGTGTTCACGGAAGTTCCCGTGCCCAGTATGCAAGAAAGCTGTGAGGTTTATTTGGTTGAAAAAGGGTGGCAAGTATTCGCTGCTCGACAAGCATCGTCAATTCCTCCCTTCCGAACATCCATTCGACAAGACATCAAGAACTTTACAAAAGGTGTTGCGTTGGATGCACCCTAAACCCCACATCGGGGAGTGGTGCCGAGGTTCATGCTCGATAGATGCTCTCGTGCCCAACGAAGGAGGTGGTTTTGTGGGTTATGGTGAGGAACATATGTGGACTCATAAGTCCCAAGCTTGACCAAAGCTACCCTATTTCGATGACCTTCTTCTCGCCACATAACATTGATGTAATGCACACCGAAAAGAATATCGCCGAGGCACTTTGGGCAACTCTCATGAATACAGAGAGAAATCTAAGGACAATATTAAGGCTAGAGTGGACTGGCGGACGTTGTGTGATAGGAAAAAACAAGAGATGCAACCTCCTAGTGGTCGAAACAAGAAGTGGAAAAAAGCCTAAGGTGGATTTCGTCTTGAAAATAGATGCCGGGAGGGAAGTACTTCAATGGATCAAGAACTTGATGTTCCCGGATGGCTATGCCGCTAATCTGGCGGGGGGAGTGAACTTAGGCACTTTATGAGTCAACGGGATGAAGAGTCATGACTACCATATATGGATTGAGCGGCTTCTCCCCGCAATGGTCCAAGGCTACGCCCCCGAGCATGTCCGAAAGTGTTGGCGAGTTGAGCTATTTCTTTACGCTTCTCTTTGTGTGCTAAGGAGATATCTCGGAACATCGCTATGGAATTGGAAAAGGTGGCACCTGTGTTGGTCTGTAAGCTGGAGAAGATCTTCCCACCCGGCTTTTTCTTGCCGATGCAGCATCTGATCGTGCACCTTCCCACTGAAGTACGTTTGGGGGGGCCTGTGCAGTTTCGTTGGTGCTTTCCAGTCGAGAGAGGACTAAAGACTGCTTACATGAAGAAATGTACAAATAAAGCCGTAATTGAGGCTTCCGTTGTAGAGGCATACCATGGGAGGAGGTGGCAAACTTCACAACGCAGTACTACAAGCCAACCTTCCTAGCAATCAAAATCCACTCCCTCATTACAATGTTGATGAAAATGAATCGACCCTCGGCCTTTTCCAAGGACAACTCGGTAGCACAAGTGGATCGACC